CGGCCGAGACACAGGTGAACACACCCTGGCAAGTAAAGTGTCGGTGGAAAATTCGAGTTAAAAAAAATCCGGTTATCTAAAAAGAAGTTATGGAACGTTAATTGCTATAGAATACTTGACTAAACTCGTCCATTGGACGAGTTTAGTCAGATCATATCGTTTCTGTTGTCTCGGGCATTGTCCATACTTTGTTTAACCTCGGGTCAGATCAAAGTGCCACTGAGGCGAGCCGAGACAGTCAAACAAGCAACGCCAAAAGCGCAACGTCACGGTGCTGGTATTATTTCTGTGCGTGCGTTATAATCGGCTCTAAACGAATGAGGCGCAGTAAATATATGCTCTTTGACTTTGAGCTTTTAGTGTGTGTGTCCGTGTTTGTATGAGCCCTTGACAGCACTCTGACTTATGACGAAGCGAAGTGGATAACTATAGGCAACCGGCAACGGCCAGGCGGCGTCAGCAGGGTGAGAGCGCACGGTTATACCCTATCTCGTTGTAACTTGGCAAACGGCGAACGATAAGCCCCACATTGCGTGCCGAATGCTTCGAAATGCGCGACGTATACGAGCGCAAGTCACACATATTGGAGCATGACGCTTCGGAGTTGAGGCGCGCTCCGGTGATAGGCAGTCACGTTCCGATTGGCCCGCCAGGGCCGTAGCTTTCGCTCTACTGGCACGTTACGCGATCACGGCTTCCTGGGATACCCAGTATTTCTTGCTTCGGACACTAGGCTCAGCGGCGCCACCAGAGTAATAGCTCGCGTTTGAACAATGCAGCCGCCACTCCCAGGGGTACCCAATATATCTTGCTTCAGTCCAGTTCCGATTTCTTTCCGACACCCAATCGATATGATTCTTTATGATACAGGAACTCGCGAGGGCACAATCTCTGTCGCAGCTGGGAAACGCCCTCTCTACATGCACTCAGCCCCTCCTAGATAACAAAGACGCAGTGCCGAATGAGATGGCGTCATCAGAGAAGGCCAACACGGCAGGTACAGATCGGACACGACGATTGCGTCCATTCGGCTTGAGTCGAATTTGAGCTCTGACGCAGCAGTTTCCAATCTTTGCCCAGCGTAGGCCTTCTCTGATTCGCCATCTCGTCGAGCACTGCGGTTTTGTTAAGAGGTGTTGCTACCGTTGCACGTTGATTCGTGCACACTAAGTCAAGAAAAGTGCATCGTCATGGCGTCCATCGTCTTTGTGCGTCCGCTATCACCAACTGAACCGGTCGTGCGCAGAAAAAAGAAAGCGCAGGACTGGGTTTAGTTTAAAATCCTTTGTTACTGCTTTTACAAGTAACGACAACCATTACAAATGACAAAGCACATTCCGCTGGAACAAAATGGTGGCGTTCAGTTCAAACCTCTGCTGTGCGCCGCCATTCGCTTCCTAAAACCTGCACCGTCACGCAGTCGGCGCTTCAAAGAATGTCGCAAGATCTAGGATTCTCTTATCTAGGGAGGGACTTTGATTTAGCCGATGATAGTAAACGCACAGACGACAAACAACCGTGACAATGCAGTTTTGTTGCTGTTTTATTGGTCCCATCAGACCGTGGCGTTGACTGCGGTCGCCCTAATTCAGAACGCAAGTTCGTCTGCTTCTTTGGCAGGGGTTCTGGTGATGTCAGAACGCCACACTCTGATTGGCTCTTACTGGACGGATGGTGGGAAGACCTCGAAGAAGGCTGCCTTGAGGTTTACCCACTATCTTTTCAATCAGAGTCAATCGGAGCTCGGCGTTCTGACGTCACCAGAACCCCTGTAAAAGAAGCAGACGAACTTGTGCTCCCTATTGGAAACAGAGTATAGTATGCGAAGCGCAAGTTCGCCTGCTTCTTGCACAGGGGTTGTGGTGACGTCAGGACGCCGAGCTGTTGTTGGCCTTGATTGAAGGATAGTGGGTAGAACTCAAGTCAGCTTGCTTTGAGGTCTACCCACTATCCATCAATCGGAGTCAATCAGAGCCAATCCGAGCTCGGCCTTCTGACGTCAGAACAACCCCTGCAAAAGAAGCTGACGAACTTGCGCTCCGTATAGCAACTTATACGAGGTAGCGCACGCTCACCTCGGAGTCTGATAAATCCTCGACGTCACTTTCATCCTCGTAGCATATCCGGTACATGGAGGACACATAGTTAGTGTCCCACGAAAGGCACTTTCGGGTCTTGTCATCCGGGTGAGTTTCGAGAAGTCTGAATGCCATGACTTGCCCACGTCCCATCCCGTCCACGGGAGACGCATATCAGTGCACGTGGGCAGACCCCGCGATACGGACCCGCTGACGACGCCACGGCGAAGACGGCGAACAACGGTCGCGTTTCCGATCAAACGTTCACGTGGCCAGTTTGTTGGCGGCAAAGAGGAGAGAGTGTAGAGTCGCGCACATCGCACAAACTTTCCCAAATGTGCGCGCGGTCGTCGCGTCAGCACAGTTCGTTCTGCGTCTCGCGTTTCCCATGTGGACCAAACGATGATTCACGAAGCCCTCAAGTTCCAGCGCCACGAAGCCGGCGCGATAAAACTCCGCGGCGACGACGACGTCGCGGGAGCACCCTTTTTGCTGCTTCCCGGAAATGAGAATGCTTCCACGACGACGTCATATCCGCCTGTGCGTTTCAAAATAAACGGCATGAGTAGCGGCGGCAGAAGGACGCGCAATCAGGAGCACTTGTTGCTTGGAGTGTCGGGTGTCAAACTGCCGGAGACCCCGGCCTGCTGGCGCGAAGCCACCACTCCCACCAACGACAGAAAAAATTATAAAGAGTTCGCGCGAAGATTTGCTTTAAAACAACGAAGGATGCGGGACAGTGCGGATGATGATTTCATGGCTTGCTTAAGCCCTGCTTCACATTTATTATATGCCCAGCTTGTCATTTCTTATATTAAATGTTCTGACTCTCTGAACCTCTTGGCCCATATGGATCTCTTGACGCGTTGTATCTTTTGACTCGTTGGATATTTTGACCAATATTGGATATTTTTAATCCGTGGATTTCTTGACTCGGCTGTCACGTGACTGTTGGACCTCTTGACTCGTTATACCTCTTAACTCGTTGAATTTTTGACTCGCTCGATCTCTTGACCTGTTGGATCTCTTGGTTCAATGACTATCATGACTTTTTCTTCGCCGATATTGGATCTTTTGACTCGTTCGATGTTTTGACCCATATTGGATTTTTTGACTGGATGGATGTTTTGAAACAAAATGAAGCCCGGCCATCTCACGTCTGAAAAGACGCTGTCCCAAGATAACGGAAGGTCGGTGAATACTTGCTTTAATGGCAATTTTAATTAAACGCTGATCTTGCCGAGGTCTGCACTAACTCGCCAAATGGCCTGAATCCACGCAAGAGTCTCATTTAATGTTTAGCCCAGGAATGTCGTTGTCTTCCTGAAGATGTCAGAGGAACCCCAAAATAAGCCTGAGCTCTGTGAAACACTCAGGGGAACCAAAAATGTGCTCATGAGTAGAAAGTTATAGCCGATCGTTTTTGGGGCCACGCTATCCTTTCGGACGAGGCACTTCAAAGCAGGCTTCACACAGTGGCAGCGCGAGCTGTCCAATACCACCAGATTGATTGTGACATCTTCCAAACATGTGTTCGTTACCGTGGTAATTTTGCACAAAATTGCTAATTCAAAGCGAAGCAAAAATAACTAATAAAACTGTAAAAGAATGACACGTGCAAAAAAGCTGATTGTGATCACTAAAATAATTTTTTTTTTGGGACGCACCCTTAAAATATATTATTCAGCGCACTAAACATGTACTTTTGAAGAATAGCCTTAACAGAGTATTCTTTAATTTTAAAATCGCTCGTAGAAAGGTTTGGGTTCTTTATAAAGTACTCCCGCCAGTCTAAAAGCTAGGAAAAGGAATTGACCATAGTTGAAACGAACTGAATTATCCTCTAAGGGCTATATCACAAACGGCGGCGCTGCGCCGGCAATCACGGTATACACCAAAAGGAAGGCGCGCGTGTGCCAAGAAAGTACACCTGAGATGCACCATGCTCTAAAAATGATAACGCGTTCAGGATTACAACGGTTGACGGAGAGCAGAATGTACGATCAAACGTTGGAGGTATTCGCCTGCTTCGCAATCTGGCAAGCACCTGCTGTCGGACTGTATTCTTTGCATAGTAAAAAACTTCCGTTTCCATGTTTTTTTTTTTGTTTTTTTGTTAAATCTTTTTTGAACGCTCCAAAGCGGCTTATGACAAGTATAGCCAGACGGAAGAGGTTAAAAATCTGTACGACTCGCGCGTAAAAGGAGACGCCGTATTAACTTCTTTCGAATTCACGCTTAGATGGTAAATGGATTGCATTCCAGAAAACCGGAAACGAGATGCATCAAGCGTTAATTAATGTAGCCCCAATTTAACCAGTTGCACTGACTGTACCTTTCCGTTGGTGATGCCGTATACGTCAGTACCAACGGCTACACTGTAGAGTGTATCTTTAACTGTAGCTACTTTGGGAGCTAGGAATTCACCTAAAGCACGAAGAAAAATTATGCCCCCAAATTACCGATATGAACAGTCTTTAACGATGGCATATGTATTACAGCTGCGTGACAACAAAATCGTATCGTGAACTCGACAAAAAGGAGAGCTCAAGCTTGGGACTTGCAGTGAAAGCAAGGGCTGGCTGGCGTTTTCTGCTGGTGGAGAAATTACCACACCATTTACTCGGCTGGACGCCAGCCGAGTAAATGGTGGCTTTTTTTTTTTTTTACCGTGACCAGTCGAAGTGAACATTTAAAGCATAAACACGGACTGCCACTGAAATCATATACGTACACGACAGCGAAAATATATATAAAAAACTAAGTAAAGGAGTTCTGAACACGCTTTCTCGATAGAGAGAAAAAATATATATACATCCGTGAATAACGTGCGTACTTTATTCGCTATACCTATAGTTCGTGGGAACCTGATGTTTTCAATGACTGACGTATGGCGCTTCAGGGGATGTCAAGTGGGCTTACCCTCGCGATCCAGTCGGCCTCCTTAGCGGCTCTGGCCAGCTGCGTCTCCATGGCGTCCCAGTCGATGGTCGGCATCGTCGTCTCGATGTTGTAAACGTCGAAGTCGCGCTGCGGCGACGCAGTCCGGCGACGCCCCTCGGGAAACCTGGACCGCCGCACCTTCTCCGGGGTAAAGTTGAGGAGCGACGCCGCCGACGTGGTCGCCTCCCTGGTCAGCTCCGCCTTGTCGAAGATCTGCGCCACCTGGTCCGGCCACCGGGCCTCCTCCTCTTCCTCGAGCCTCCGACGACACGCGTTGCGCACGGCTTCGTCGTCGAGGTTCAGGTTACGAGCGTCCGCCGTGTTGAGGATCTTGGTCTCGGTACGGTTACCCGTGCTGAGGTCCACCAAGCTTCCAGGCGCCCAAACGTTGACCAGGTCGCTGGTCGCGTCTAAGGAAGGCGACGGCCCCACGTTCAGCGAGAGCACGTTGGCCAGCTGGGGCGACACCGGACGTGCCGTCACGAAGTCGATCCGGGACTCGACGAGGTTGTTGTTGTTGGCCTCCGGGCTCCCGTTCTCGGTTGTCTGGCTCATCTCCGAGGACTCTTCGTCCGAGGACGTGGAGGAGTCGTCCGAGCCGTAGCTGTTGGACCGCAGCAGGGACAGCGTGTCCTGCCGGTCGTCGGGCTCAGGGGAGGACAGTGACATGGCTCCTTCCGGCGAGAGCCGCTCCGGGGCCCATGCCGGTCGGAACCTGCGTTCGAGAAGTCTCCTTGATCAGCTCAAGAAATGCGGAAGTGTAGAGTTACTAGTGTAAGCTAACTGACATGCATAGGAATAGACATATGTTTAATTAGAAGAGACTGACTTAGACCTATAATGCGTCCAACAAAGAAATATAATTCCCTCTAGAGAACGACATCCAAAGTACTAATATGTAGTGTTACATTGAATATTTATGTGAACTGGTAACAGAATGCAATTTACACTTCTATGGGCTTTGCTCTATAATGTGGGTCATGAAACATTCAAACCAGCGTCTTTATTTTTGTCACGTATAATATCTAGGTTCACATGGTATAACTACCCTAGAGTAATTTTCTGGCTCACAACGGCAATATACAGCATGTCTAGATACTTGAAGATCCTTACTAAATAAAATAGAGAGTAAATCACCACCTTCACATTTGGAGAAACGTTTTTGAAACTTGTCACACCCTGGGAAGCTTCCTTGATTAAAGGGTAATGCTCATTACACTGTGATTCTGATATAGTTTTAAACTACAAACTGGGTCGACAGCAGGAATGTTTGCGGAAAGGAGACATTAAGGGTCTTACGGAAAGGGTGCTGTCTTGTCTGATGTTCCCCTGTAGGACCTCAGCCGGTCCTCGAAGCCGGGGCTAACGTGGCGGCTGAAAGAAAAGAGTCACGTTCCAAGAGCACCATGAGAAAGGCGCCAACTCCGCATAATTTTTCCATAGGCTGTCGACACCTTTGACTATAGTCTAAGACAGAATCCGTCGCGGTGTCGTGTCACAACTGTAGTTGCAGAGCTCTGAACAATAGCTTAACACTAGCTCGTTTTGCCGCCAGCATAAAGAGGGAATACATGTACGATTGTGAAAATAATTACAAACATACCGTGTTGTAGGCGTTACCGAAAAAATGTAACAAAATACGCTACTCGTTACATGCAAATAAAAGGAACGCGTAACCAGCCTACATTACCTGCAAATAAAAGGAAAGCTTTACAGTTACCGAAAATGTAACGCACGTTACTTTTGATTTACTTTTTTCTATTTATGAGTTAAGCTTTTTCTAAAGTGGGAGTGTTTGTGGGGGAAAAGAAAGGCGAAATGTTGAAGGTATGCGGTATGAATGCAAGAACTCATGACTTGGTGCATAGAAACACGGAAAAAATTGGAGGGTAATTTTTTTTTATGTCTTGGGACGAAGACGTAACGAGTAACGTAATTATGTTACACGGTACTCAAAGTAAGTATCGTAAACACGTTATCCGGTACTATTTTTGAAAGGGTAACTAGTCGTTACTACGTTACCGAACAAATTAACCCGTTACCGGTGTCACCGTTACTTGAAATGCGTTACGGCCAACGTTGCAGACAGGCATGGTCAAATTCCTTGGCTATAGCCTAATACGAAATCTTTTGCAGTGCCGTGTCTCAACGGTAGTTGAGCCGTATAACAATAGCGCAGCAATAGCTCGCTTTGCTGCCAGCACGAAGAGGGAATGGTAGTACAATTGAAAAACTATACTTCGTTCCATCTTCTGTTGAACTGCAACTGGAGGCTAGGGGCTGTGACGCGGCCCTGGAAAGGCATTCTTACGCATCAAAAAGCTGTGCGTCAAAGATTTTAATAGTGTAAGTCACGTAACCTTTGTAATTATCATAATGTTCGTGTTTCGTACCAGTGATACATAATTTATGTTCCAATGGAGCTCTCAAACTTGACATTTAATATATACACATGCAGCATGTTTGGAGAAATTAGCCTTCTGGTTGGCAACGCTGTCGTTGCCGTCACGGAGGATCCCTGCCTTGATTTATGCAGATGACGTGGTACTTATGGCGGGGTCCTTGGAGGAACTTCAGGAATTACTGGACATCTGTGGAAAAGAGGGAACCACCCTGGGGCTAACGTTCAACCCCAGCAAGTCTGGAGTCCTTGGGGCGGGGGTGGAGCAACAGGAAACAGAGGATGCCTCTACGCAGCTTTCGCAGAGAGTGAACATCCAGGGCCAAAAGATAGAGTGGAGGACCGAATATAAGTACCTGGGAGTGACGCTGCAGTCGGGACAAAAGTACCTCGAACAACATGAGGCCGAGCTGCGGACCACGGCGAACAAGCGCAAGGGCTACCTGGGATGCAGGGGAATGTGGAGCTTCAGCCGATACGAGACGGTGCGGGCACTCTGGAAAATGGTGGCGGTGCCGGGTTTGACCTTTGCCAATGCCGTACTGTGCCTGTCGGCACGTACACGAGAACATCTGGAAGTGAGGCAGCGAGAGGTGGGTCGCCTGGCGCTGGGAACACACCGAAACACCACCAGTGAGTACGTCCAGGGCGACATGGGTTGGTCCTGCTTTGAGGCCCGTGAGGCCAGCAGCAAACTGATTTTCGAGCGGCAGCTTTGCACTTTGCCGGAACAACGATGGGCTCGCCAGGTGTTCAAGTACATCCACCTTCGAAGCATCAACACCCGGTGGGTAAGGAGAGTGAACAAGCTCACGGAGCGATATGACGTGCCACGGGTGCTGCTGTGCGAGGTCGAATCTCCGGGGACGGCGAAACAGGTGCGGGAACGCGTGAAGGAGACAAAAACGACCAGATGGGTCGCCGCGGCCGTCCCTCGCCGTCTACGGTGCGGAAAAGAAGAGCATTGTGGGCGTGGATTTCGTCGACAACTCGAGGGGCAGTGGGCTGCTGTGCGAGGCACGAAGTGGAGTGTTGAGGACACGCCACCTGAGGTCCAAGTACACGCCGGGGATGGACGGTACATGCCAGCTATGTGGCCAGCAGGAGGAGACAGCTGAACATATCATAATGGAGTGCCGAGAGCTGAGACCGCTGATGCCACCAGATCTGGTGGATTATGCGGTTGCACTGGGTCTGAAAGGGTTGGACTTGGGACCGACACCATCGACAGGGCAGGGGCAGACGACGCAGACGACGTGCATTAATGAAGTGGGAAGTCGAGACCATGGTGGCCAGCGCAGTCCGCGGGGGGATGTCGGCGGCCTCGGGGTGGTTGAAATCACAAAGCGAAGACTGGAGGACTGGTGGGGGAAAACTGTGAGGAGGGTGGGGGGCAATGGCAATCAAATTTAGGTTTTTTTTTTTTTTTTTTTTGGCTAGATCCAGTTTTGTTAAAACTGTGATCGCCCGATACAAAGGGTTAAGCCACCATATCTATATCCATATCCATATCCATTTGTTTATTCAAAATTCATGGCACCATGGCCGATGCGACGTGCTGCAAAGAAATGTTTCTTCAGAATGAGAGTTTTATTTGAAAGTTTTTATGCACAAGCTGAACAAAAGTTCGATATTTATTGGAAGAAACAATTTGAACTTCAAAAATTACCTCGCTGTTCGTTTACAATGTTACCTGACATATGTAACTGCGCCAACTGCGCTCTTACTTTCGTTCGCCGTAATGGCCGCGGAATGGCAGGCCCGACTCCGCCGACAGCTTCTGTGTTTTCTTTGCCAGCTAACTTCCAGACAGTTAAAAAAAAATCTGTATTTTGGAAGAGAAGTGCAGCAAATTGTGCTCAACGTCTACTACGAACTTCGCTTTCAACCTCCGAACGAATCGTACAGAGCAGTTGTTCAAAGAGCATCTGAGATGTGGTGAATGTGGAAAAAAAAAAAGAAAAAGTGGCAGTGGTAGCATATCTGGTGTCGCCGGCGAAAACACGTTTATTCGTCAGAACCGCATGCCATTATTCGCGTTGCAAAAAGGGCAAAAAATCAGTGCTGTACACGTTCCTCAAAAAAGGAACGAAAGCTCGTTCCTCGTTCCTTCTGATTTCTGGAACGGGTTCCCGTTACAAGTTCCATATGTGAAAAAGGAACTCGTTCCCGTTACAGTTCGAAAAATGGAACGTATCGTTACAGGGACGGAACGAGCGGGTTGGTATGGATAGTAAACTTGTGTTTGTCCGTCCTTTCTCGTTTTCTTCCTCAAGTTTACTATCGTTACATATACGTTACATTTGCTTATTACTATTTTAAACGTGAAAACAGCGCAAAAAATTGAACAAAGGACAAGTGAAAGAAGTGCACGGACAAAGCACTGTTTTCCGTGCACTTCTTTCACTTGTCCTTTGTTCAATTTTTTGCGCTGTTTTCAAGTTTGACGATGTTCAACCAACTAGCCCAACTTACCGCCTTGTTACTATATTTAGTTACATAGAACAAATATATTTTTTTTTAATCTATCCCATCAAATGGCAACATACGAATTTGAATGCCGTGATGGAAGGGCACCAGGAGAAGAAAGCAAGCAACGCAGGGTTTCATTCGTTAATGTATTCATATTAAAAAAAAAAAAAGAATTTAGCTTTTAACCGTATTTATGTTTGTGGTGGGCGGAATCAAACGAGCAAAATATACTGTTACCCTACATTGCTCTGCGAACTTTAAAACAGTTGCTTCTCGATGTTGATGTCCGCAAAACGATGAATGGAAGAAAAGGTTACGACTTCGGGAGGTCAGTCTTGAAAACTACCTCTCCTTCTTCATGAAGGTTGAATTAGTCGTTCAGTTTGAAGGTGTGGGGCGAATGAAAGTTATTTTTTTGTATCTTATAAATAAGTGATCATTGTTCGGGATTCAAGAGTGCGTTCGATGTCTGGTAACATGTTATTTTGTTGAAACTCTAGGTCCCTGTGAAACTTCCATGATGGCTATAGTCTGCTTTATATTTCTAGGTATATGAGGAACCGTGGAAGCAAAGAAATTAGCCCAGTTTGAAACGTCTTTTTTCTGTCTTTTCTTTTGACTAAAAGTTTTGCTCTTTTGTACTGCAGTCTTGGGCATTGAAAAAAGAAGCATTATTAACTAGCTTCCCTGCACCCGACTGTTACTGAACGAGGATAACACAAAATAAACCCTAAGATAATTAACCAAGAAGTTAGCGAGATTCTGCTCTCGGTAAAGATATTGTTTTTATACTTTTGAAACTTCCCTCGTAGAAATTAAAAAAAAAAAAAAAAACACTGCACGAAAAAAAGGAACGCCGTTACTCTTTCCGTGCCAGTAAAAATGTAACGCGTTCCCGTTCCAGTTCCAGCGATGCAAAATGGAACGGCGGCGTTCCTTCGTTCCTCCTAAAAGGAACGCCGTTCCTTGGAACGCCGTTCCGTACAACACTGCAAAAAATAGCTTCGTTCCGGAGCGCATGCTCCGTCAGTCACTTCCACACAGCTCTTTGTAGTGTAGTGTTAGTAGAGTTAATTGTCGGGATCGGAACTTTCAAAACCGACCCTGCGAGTCCATGCCGGCGAGACATTTCGCAAGGGCGCAAGGGGTTGGAGTCGACGTTTCACTGTCCAGGCCGACCTGGCCCGTTGAGTAATGGAAAAGCTTATAATTTTCTGTGTGCCACAAGCAATGAACCGAAGAGTTCCTGTGGACCTTGCTTCCGCTCGACGTGCAAGGCCTTTGTGAAAGTACACCGTGCCATCCCACCGATCCCACTCAAAAAGAAATGGAGACTACACAGCTACGCGTCCACCTCGGTACGCCAAGAGGTTCCAGCCGTGATCACCGAAGGTGCTTGAACTTCTGCAATAAATCGAGCAAAGTACACGAAATCCGAGCGTACTTTCCCCCTCCGCTAAGCCTCTCACAACGAAGTTGTGAGCAACTTAGCGGAGGGAGAAACGTTTTGACAATCCCGCAGCGCTCTCCGCAAACCTCTACGATACCCAGAACTCTACAGTCAAGGCCATCGGTGCGCAGGCGCGGCTTCTTGGTTGTGGAAGGCTTAGCCAGAGGGGGATACGCCATCTACGAAAACTCCCAAATGTCAGTCGGAGTCACATTGCACCACGAAAAGCCTTTCTTTGAATGGCGGAGTCTACTACATCAAAAAAGCGACCCCGTGTAAATAATTAAAAAAAAAAAGAAGTCTTGAAAACATTGGGAGTAGAAGATCGGATGGTGTAAGGCTGTAAGCTATGGATAAAATTGGCGGATGGAGACAAAAGGCGGCAACAAAGTTTCAGATCTGGGTAAGGTACATGGTTAGCAATATCACTACGCGTGTATAGGGTTATGCACATGGGGATATTCAATCCCGGGGTCGCAAGAGTAACGAAGAGCTCACCTGTGCAGCAGACATTTTTCTTCTGGAAGGGGGACGTTCAGCTTGAGCCTCATTGTGGCCAATTCCTGCACAAAAAGAAGAAGAAAAAAACCTTTTTTTTTTTAAGATTTTGCTATTTTTCTGATTTGAAAGTTTGCGTTGCCTTCTCATAAATAAGGAGCTCAATTCTCAGTGTTCTAGCCTCGGATGCTATAACCTGTAATGCGTAGGCGTGGGGTTTCATTTATCCATGGTTTTCTACCATATTTGAGTAGTTCGTTATTAAAGTACAATTGTTTAAGAACTTTATATAATATTTGTACTGCAATTCAGTACTCCGAACTGAAGTAATTCTAGTTAGGGCACCGTTCACGCAAAAAAATTCCAAACATTGGAATTACAATCGCAACTACTTTTTGCCAGGATTTTGTCACGCTGGAGCTGAAACGTAGGAGTCACAGAAATGACAGTAATCTCTGCGCGTATGTTTTGTGGCCCTTTTCCCAGCTTATGGCGCGTTGGAGAAAATAAGAACTGCGCCCCTATTCCATCACCTGGCCTCGCTCTATACACTCCGTGCGGGAACTATTAGAGAAGTTCGCGTGGCGCCCCCTTACGGCGAACCGGCGTGACGTCACGGCGAGGAGAGAATTTTTCCCCGACTCGCCCCGCTCGCCCTATGGAGGCTGTGACGACGCTAGCTGTCGGCGCGCTCGTTTCTATTTAATTTTTTTCGGCGTGTTTTTCGTAGGAAGTGTAAATTTTTATATGTGCCTTTATTGAGGTATGGCTTGTAGCTACAGGCGAAACTTCAACCAACATTGTAAGCATGGTTGAATGGCAGGCAAAGCATGACTCACAGCTGGTATATGAAAACAAAGAAATATAGTCACAATTGCAGGAGCATCACTATAGATTTACGTCTCGCACAATAAATGCTGCTGATGGTCTGAATGAATTGGCAGGTTATGTATACTATTTCTTTTGTATCTCTGTTTTTAAACAAGATAGCCGAAGCAGAAAAGCTGCATGCTGCTCGAGCAACATGCTAAATACAGTCTGGGCCATGGGGAGAGAATCACAAGTAAGACAACCCAAATGCAGGGGAAAAGTAAAAAAAAAACAAAAAAAAAAACGAGGAGCATTTATTATATACATTGGTCGCATTTGACCTTTGCTGGATTCGGATAATATTTCAATGGACTACACGGGTGATATCTGTGGACTTGTCTATATAAGCGAAGGTGTCTAGCTCGTTATTAGTCCCTTAAGCCCTAAAATTTAGATTTTACTAAAATCAAATTGTCCTAAAGCTAAAATACCAGAAGCTTTTCTCACGCAGACTGTCGCCCTTCACACGTTTCACATTTTTTGCTACTAGTGCTGCATCTACCACTGGACAGACGTTCGAATGCTTGCTTTTACTCCTGTTTTCCTCTGTTGTCAGAGAGTCCAGCTGTAGGGAGTTTGGAGGCTGAGGAAGCTTTTGGGGACCTGCAGCAGTGTATCTTTTAATTGGAAATGACAATTCAGACTAAACGGTGTATTTTCCGAATACGCAAGTCTGGAATAAAGAATCTCAGAAAAAATTATAGACATTACAAATTACAGCACTATTTGCTGTGCACATTTTGGGCAGTTCAATACATATCATACAGGCAACTGGGGGCAATTCGGCCGTTTTTGCTGCTACGATACAAACTAATTTCCAGTAATTGTGCATCTTCTAAGAAATATACCTGAATACGTGTATAAACCATATAATTAATTCACGAAGAAGCTACATTTATGTAAAACAAGCCTGTTCCACGAGCACTTCAAAGATCATCAGACGCAGGGCCTTTAAAACATCTGCGAACCATCGCATGCAGAGTGGCACCGCAAAGTCGGGGTCGCGAGCTAATTTGCCGACCAGCCAAACGCCCATGATATAAAAGCCACTTCAAATGCCTTGAAAGCGGGATGTAATATTGTCCTAAATCATGAACATGCAAGGAACAGGATTCCAGAGTCTGAAACACTCGCGCCACCGCTTCACCGACCCCTCGCAAGATTGCCTTGTGTCCTGTGGACGGACGGGGAGGCTCATCGGCGGAATCGCCTCCGCCGATAGCTTTCGGGATTTGTAACCCAATTTTAAAGGTAAAAGGGACAAGCAGGCTTATAAAATGTACGGAAGCACGTCAATATCGGCCTAACTCAACGTCTTGTAGACCGGGTAAACGAAGTCCAGCTACTCGAAGAGCTTGCGGCACACAACGCCAAACCAGGAAACCGGTGCTGGGAAGCGAGCCGATGCGAGATCGCGGAGCGGAGTCCTCCTCCTGACGTCACGGTACACCTCACCCAATCAGGGCGCGGCGACCGCAGCGACGCTTGTGTTCGCTCTCGGGGCTAATAGGGGGCGCTTTGAAAAACGCGCGTAACGCCGCTAGCGGGAGAGCTGGCGTTCGACAGTGAGGCGCGCTCAGCAGCCTGCGGCGCCTTTTCGCATGCGAAGCTGTGGCGGCGGAAACGCGAACGGACATAACTTTTGCTTTTTGAGCCGATAAGTTGAGAATGACGTTGCACGAGTGCTGGGGCAGATTTAAGAAGGGCATTTAGCTGTTCTCCGCTTCTTATATACTGAGTTTGAGTCGCTATCAGGGGTAATTTCTTTAGTTGCGGTCGAAAAAGCGGTCTGAGCAATTTTCCGAAAAGCAAGACGGCCGCCACCATAATTGCTCTTATAGTGGGAAATTTGTTTCGCTCGTCGCTGTAAAGGTAGGACTGCTGGGACGATGATATTTGTAGGTGAGTGACATGTTCACTAAGTTTGTGCACTAAGTGGGCCAAGTTTTTTTAAGACAGCAGGTGTGAAAGTTATGGTTCGAACGAATAAAGGAATAAAGCTGTCAGGAATATCCAATATTGGACCCAAAATGTTGTGTTATAACCGGGCGGTGCGAAGTGCAGATTTAGACGCACTGGTTCTTGGACATGACCGTAACTTGACACAACAGTTATAATACCAAAAATAGGTGGCATGGGGAAACCAGGTGGAAATTTGGTTTGGGCGGCGTAACTGAATGGGAAACGGTTTTGACCGTGAAAGGGCTGTCAAGTGAATACCACTCGTCGTGGGAGATGGAGACTTCACAGGTAGGAAGGGACTAGTGCACTGTACTTCCAATTGTAACAACGTTACGAAAGGTGGTTTCAAAGCCGAGAAAACCAAGTTGCCGGCCAACACATGGTTTGGCCGTCAAAGGCATTTGCGGTCAGCTGTTGTGTAGTGATCTGGTTGTGCGAGGTGCTGATTTTCGGCACACAGGTACTTTGACAACCTAACTTGACAAAACACTTATTATGCCTAAAAGAGGTGGCATAGTTTAACCAGGTGGAAATATTTTTGGACAACGTAACTAAATTGGAACCGGTTTTGACCGTCAAAGGCTGTCAAGAGAATACCACTCATCATGGTCGGGAGGTGCACACTGTGACTTTACAGGTAGGAAGGGACCAGTGGACGGTACTTCCAGTTCGAACAACTTTGCGATAGGGGGCTCTAAAGCCGAGAAAAAAAAATTGTTGTTTACAAGACTCGGTGTGTCAGCTTTTCCATATCTAAAAGTAGGCTGATCAAAAAAAAAAAAAAAAGCACGAGCACCACATAAACTTCGATACTCAAACATCGATTGTCCAGTGTTTCTAATTTTCATTGTATTTTTTTTCTTTATTTTCTCATTTTCATTGTAGTTTTCCCTAGATTCATATCTGTCACTTTTTGTACCATCCGAATCTTTCTTCATGAAGTGCAGACTGCGTGCCATACTGGTCCAGAAATATCATCGACACGTACGATGGGAACGAAACTTCTTTGGAGGGCATTCCTTCAATGAAATTTGCACTGCATACCCGCGAGTGTGGGATGGCATTTCAGTTCCAGCTGAGTTATGTAGGCGTTACTGGTACGAAAACAAGCGCAGAGCGCAAAGCGGTAGTGTAGAATATGTCAGCTGTGCCGATACAGTGGCAGACATGATCGGGAGACCAAATTTCTCGCGTCGTACGGCACGGGTCAATCGTTGTCACTGTCCCACAAAACGTCGGCGACGTGAAAAACTGTGAAATTTCGTCCCCACGAGATACGACGCATAACTATTGGAGCACTTAACGACGCAGCACTTTATGCTGTCAACCCAGCGCAACCGCACCGCTCCGAGTTCAATGCGTACCAATGTACGCGGCGTGGTTTCGTTTCGCTGGGGCTCTCACTGCCTACCTTCGGTAACGGCCGCGCGGCGACGCGCCGGTCGCGTCGCACGGAGTGTATACGCTTTACACACGCGCCAAATTACAGCCGCCATTACTGACCTTCTCTTGCCTTTCCCAGATGCCCAGCCACTGAAGCGGGCGTTGAAAAGCCTCCAGAAAGGCCAATGCTGTGAGAAGGACACTATAGAAACTAAAATGGAAATAAGCTGCCCCGCTATGGTAACGATGAAGTGAAGTAAACGTAATTAGAGGAAACAAGAACTGAAGGTCGGTTATGGCGGCGCCCATGCACAGCTGCTGCAAAGCGTTTATAAAAGTAGGTTCAACCCTAAGTTTATAGTGTGTACGCACTCACGGGACTAATCAAACGCCTTTTTTTTCATCACCTCACGTTGTTCTCCGCGCGTGGGTATGGGTGGGTGGGAGTGTGATCCTGTTGTGAAAGGTAGTGAAAGGTAGGGTGAGTGAAAGGGGACGCTTGGCAAACGAAACAAGCGGGGAACAAGAAAGCGCGTTACAGCAACACCCCTTAGTGCTGAAAATTTCTACGTCACGTTCCGGAGGTCAGCTTGGGTCACACGTTGAACACGAGTGCAGCATCAAATACGTGTCAAACCGAAATTATTGTTTCTTTCTTCGACAACCAAATGTTGTAAGAACTACTTCGTGCAGCTCATAAACGTGCGCAAAACTTTTTTTTTTTTTTGACGTGATGAAATTTGTTGGTTGACTTCACTTCGAAATCTCGACACTCCACTAGTTCGGCGAACATTGGACGTTTTTGCAAAGTCCGGCGAAATTCGACTTATGAACAGTTTTTTTCCGGATT